AGATTTTCAGACGAGAGATTTTCTACTTCTTGGTGCGCACAAGCTAATTCATTTTTCAGCTTAATAATTTGGTTATTTAAATCTCTGTAGATTTCATTTTCATTCAAAGTGTTTTCCGGTAGGCTTATTGCCGTTGTTTCAAACAATGAAGAGTTCGATGAGTTTGTAGATTCGATAAAAGAACTAGTCCTAAGCCTTCGATGTGTTACATAGTCGGAATCCATAATACTTGTTTTTATTTATTTATTTGATATAGTTACTGGCAGAGCCCTCTATATTCGAACAGCGTGAAATATCGTATTGTATTATGAAACATGAACAATTAGCATCGATCTGGATAACGAACAAGTTCAGCTACTTGTCCATAGATGTCGTCAGAAGCAAATTCGAGATCCATTCATATATAGTTGTGCCATCTATTAGCCAATTATTAACAACTTTCGTAAGAATCAGATAAATTGCATCTCAACCTAGTTCGGCTATTCGATCATAGATGTCGCTGGGGTTTGTTAATAGGTAGTTACGAAGAATGTGCTTCCATCTATGTAGTAATTTGTGGCAACTAAGAAATAATAACGGCTGCAATTTAAATTATTGTAGTTCGGCTATTTCACACTAGTGGCGTCAAATTGAAATTGTTTTCTTTGTTCGTAGATATTTGTCATTTACTGTGATAGTGAATTGTCACTTACGTATTTCACTTGCAGTATATTTGTAGTTAATTCTTAGCACCGAATATTCGCCTTTCGTCACAGTTCTACGTTCAGAAGCACATAAATATCTATTAGGTTGTACAAGCTGTTTGTTTAGTTAATACGTTTATTTAGGAATAGATAACGTTTGTACACTTTTATATAGGTATTAATGTCACGTATTCACATTTTTACACACTGCTGCTACATTAATTTAATTTATATAGTTTATTTAAATTTAGACTGACAGAAGCAATGTTTACTTTACAGCGCCCTCTGCCTAATTAAACTGTCAACAGTGCCTAATTAAACTGTCAAACACCAAGCGGTCACCGGCGACCGCAACCTATTGTTCTATAATTGTGTCTACAACGACACTACAATTAATCCTTAACTCAACGAGTTTACTTTTTTTTTTTTTTTACAATTAAATGCTTTGACTTTGACAAATTATCAAATGCATGAATAACTGAAAGAAAGAAATGAATCATCATTTAAATGTGATTATTTCTAGTACTACCGGCGGTCAATAGTAGTCAATCAGAGTAGTTGTAAATATGAACATACCAGCCGCAGCGATCGCCTTCTCCTTCTTAAGCTTCTCGTCCCTGATAACTTTCTCCTTGGCTTCTACTTCACGGAACTTAGCTTCCTTCTTGGAGAGCCTGTTCTGGTGGAAGGCTCCATACAGGATACCAGCACCGAGGAACGACCAACGGCCGAACTGAAATTATTAAAATATTATGTTTACTATTTGTTTTTTAATCATAATGCTAGTCTGATTAGTATGATATTTAATTTTTATGTATTTCAAAGTTTTATATTGTAATATATAGAATATTGCTATTATTATCTGCCTGCAACTGTCCCATTGCTGCGCTAAACCTTTCTCATATATGGAGAAGGAATGAGCATTAATCTGCACACTGATGGAGTTTTATGCTAATCTTATTAGTTTTTATTATTTTAATGTGTTACTTATGTGAATAAGATATGTAAATTGTTGTTATAAGAAAAATCTACAGGTATTTTCAAATTAGACTGTAATAACTTAAACATCAAGTAGATAGATTATAGTGATGTGTATTAATTTTATTACTATCTGAAATAATATTATCCGAATGGGTTATTTTTAATGAGATATGTACACAAGTTATCTTACTCTGAAATGAAAAATCAATGATGATTTAAGTGCAGACACTACATATCTGGGTGTCTGTTTATATTGTTGCTATCATACTTTTCGATATAATAAAATAGGAGGTAGGTCGAAACATGGTATTAAAAATAATGTAGAAACTTGAAATAAATCAAAAGTTCAACCAGGCGATAGGTAAACCCATTGACAAGGTTACATGGGAACAAAACCTTCTTGTTTTTACACACAACCTGGTTGTAAATACTTAAAAAATAAAAGTGATAAACTTCTTAATAAAAAAATAAGTTTAAAAAATAAATTTACTTTGAAAATGGAATTTTAGCTCGAAAACACTGTGTTACATAATGGTAAGATTTGTATGAAAAATTATTTTATGTAATATTTATTGTATTTACCCTGATGAGTGGCGAAACGCGCACTGGAGGTCCGTAGGGAAGCTCAGACATTTTAGTTTATTTCTATCTGGGACTTGAAAATCCAAACAGGATTTATTGAAAAATCCCAAGATTCGATTTGTCGTAGAGGTTATAAACTGGGTGGGGTTGTCAAAGTCGAAAAACAGAAAATATAACTGTCAATAATGTATTTTTTGAATTGTTGGTAAAGATATAAAATATGGATTTATTATTTCATTGACACGTGGAAATAATTACAGAATTTTCGGTTAAAACCGTAAATTATAAATTTAATAACATTTAATATTTTTGGGGGAATAATCAAACGTAGGTCATCATTCCCTCTAGCATCATATACCCTTTGAAATGAGTGTTAATCATTATACTAAAGAAAATAACCTTGAAAAATACTGTTATACGACTTTATAATTAGATTATGGGAAAAGTAATATTACACCTTTTTGTAATTTCAATTTTGAAATATGCAAGAACAAAACGAAATTCTGACATTTTGACAGACCACGAATGAATGAACTATGAACCCGGTGACTTTTCATTCGTTATCAAAATTCACTCAATTAAATCAATCAATCAGTCTTCAAAATGGCGTTAATCATGTCGTTCGTGTCCGTTGCTATATCTATATTGTATACGCCGTTATTACTTTTAATATTGTGCATAATATTTCTCGCTTCAATAGGAAAATCTTTGGGTGTTCGCAGATTGTACGTGAACATACTGCTGAAACTATTCGAGGTACGTAAATATATTTTTTATTAAAAAATAAAATTAAAAACATATTTTTCCTTCGTCAATAAACACGTGAGGTCATTAGAAAAAAATAATTTATTTATTTAAGGTATCTACATATAGATTGTTCTAAATATTTCATAGGTTATTGTCCTTATGTGTTATATTTTAACTTATGAGTCATCTTTAGACGTGGATTGCAGTGTAATCATCAATAATATGAGATATCGGGATTATTTCCTCTAATGACGCTTTAAATTCGGGCGGATTTACGCCTGATACTTATCTTACCGGCTATGTAATATCTACTTAGTTGACATGTATTTAAACTTGCCATGTGTACGAATTTAGAGCCTAGTCCATACCATCAGTCCACTTTTCTTAAAAAAAAAAACAAATCTGACGAAATCTCGACACCGAATGAAAAAAATTCGAAATAATTTCTAATTGAAAACTTGCAATTCTTTATAAAAGTAAAGGAAAAAGGTTAGAATCGATGTCAGTTAATCAGAAATCTGTTTAGAAAATGATAAAGCGTTATCAATTCTATTAACTACTGTTATGTGACCTTTTTGCTACATTTTTAATCTGTGGTATCTTGCCTCCAATTTTTGTATTGTATAGATACTTTCTATTTCATTTTTAATTGGACACCTTTAAAATATCATTGGTTAGATGAGAATTGACTTAAACCTCTTTAATTTCCATAGCATCCTACTTTTACCAGTAACTTTGCCCTCATAAATTTCCCATATCCTTTGCTTTTATCCTTCACAAACTCTCAGTACTTCCTAACTAGGGATATGTATGCAAAATTCCAATAAGATTGATTGAGTGGATGAAAAGAGAGTTCAAAAAGTGATTTCCACATTTATAATATTAGTAGGATAGTGAGATACTGTGAGGGTGAGCTTAATTCTCCAAATCAATAGTCTACTAAATTCTTTTCTTTGAATTTGAGTTGAAACACTTCTGTGTGTGTACTTCAGAGATACTATACACAAGTATTGTCATTTCTAATGAGTGTTAGAGGACAGATATCATTCACTACTCATAACAGCCAGTTATTCAGTATGCAGGTAAGAAAATCAAGATTGACTCAGTACACAGACAGTAGCTATTGTTATACCAAACTGGCTCCTGCCAGCAACTTCATACTCGCAATCCCGTTTTTTCCTTTTCCCCTGGAATTTTCTGGAAATTATTGGATAAAAAATATCCTATATACGTCTCCTAGTACTAAGCTACTTCTGCACCAGTTTTTATCTAAATCAATTGGGTCGTTGTTGAGTTATAAATAGTGTAAGTAATACAACTTTCTTTTATATAATATGTATATCTATACATCTTCTGTAACAAGTTTAGATTTAGTATCCTATCAATTTTTTATTTCTTTTATTTATTATTACGCCATTAAAATAAAATTAATTACTGTCTCTGTACTGAATCAATCTTTATCTTCTTACTTGGATACTAAATAATCTGGCTGATTGTATAATATTGGTATACAGAAGCTAGGAATGACCCAGTTCCTGCCACTTTGTTGTGAATATTATGATTTACAATTTTATTAATCCTTGCACCAATAAGAATTAGATTTGTAGCTAAATTGCTGAGTATATTATCTTCAAATTCATAATAATCTGTTACAATTTGCTTAAGTAATGACTTGAGCATATTAATAAATTAATAAATCAGTGATAAATAAATTTATTGCATTAAAAAATTATCTATACATCACTACATACTATATATATATAACAAAGTCACTATACTCCGTCTGTCTGTCTCTATGTATGCTCTTTAAAACTACACAACGGATTGTGATGCGCTTTTTTTTAATAGATAGAGTGATTCTTAAGGAAGGTTTATACATGAATATTGCATCCGTGCAAAGCCGGGTCGTTAGTAAGTTATATAACTATGCAACAAAATTATTACATACAATGCTGCCTGCTACCTTTTTGCCCCTAGACCAGAACTCAGTCACTCAGGTGCATTAGCACTTTATGGTATGATACGGTAATATATTAAATATCCAATAACACTAAGTACAATTAGTACATTGAGCTGAAGTATTAATCGTTATTTTATCAATGTTTAGCTCTCAAAGATAACAGAGACCAAATTAACCTAATTATCAATTACCTTTAGACTTTGTAACAGTTCTAGTTTTATCTAGTTCTAGGGCAATACAGCTCCAATTGGACATTAATAGGTACTTATTAGGAAACTAGAAAAATAGGCTCATCCCCTATTACATGGGACTGACAATATAAATAGTGAAATGTAAGTGTTACATTGTACAGCGGCATTAAGTGCTGTAATGTACACCTCTGCCTACCCCTACGGGGACAAAAGGCGTGATGTTATGTTATTAGGAAACTACCTGTTGCCCGCAACTTCGGTCGCGTATAAATGATTCCTGTTTTATCCCATTTTTTTAAGCAAGGAAAATCATCGTGTTAGACTTTCATTGACTAAAATACAACCCTGTTCGAGTAATGATAGTGAAGTGTCATTTTTATTAAGGGCCTGTTGCACAATTTCATGATTAAGTTGCTGTAAGGGCTCGTACACAAAACTGCGAAGCGACGTCGCATCGCAAGAACTCGCTAATTGATTTGCATCGCGCATCAAAATCTTATCTTCCCAAAATCTTCTTTGTTTCTTTTCCTGTATCTCCTAAAAAATTACAGAAGTGCACACTTCTTTTTACGACTAATGTCATAGTTTTCAATTTAAAATACATTTAGTAATACGGTTGACGGACGTCGAAGGAATGGTCACCCTGGGAGACGCATTATCGCACGAAATCGCATCGCAACAATTCGTCTCGTAATTTTCTGCGTTGCGAATTTGCATCGCAGTTTTGTGTACGAGCCCTTAGTCAAGTCAAACTTAGTACTTTTATATATATATATTGGCATTATTTCAAAAAACTTGTCTTTCTTTGTTTATAAGACTAATATATAAACAAAGCAATCTAAAAATAGTAGTCGTAAATGTATAATATAAACATGTGCTCTGTCATTTTGTTACAAAGAATAACAAAGAAAATGTCTTATCAACAAGACAAATTAAGTCTGCTTTAGAAGTCTTTGTTAGGAAGGTATAAAAATATTTGAATGCACGATTCAAAGTCAGCATTTATCTAATTGTGGGAGATCCATGCTTCGGCACGCATGGGCCGGCTCGACCGGAGTGATACCACGGTCTGACAGAATACAACTTTAAACAACGCTTGCGTCGGGTACCGGAGGCCCAATTGCCTCTCCCCAATCCCCGAATCCCCCACGATCCTCAAATTTCCAATTTCAAAAGGCCGGTAACGCACTTGTAACGCCTCTGGTGTTCCATAGGTGTCCATGGGCGACGCCGATTGCTTACCATCAGGTGATCCGTCTGCTCGTTTACCGGTTTATTCCATAAAAAAACTCGGTTATCAGTAATTTACGTAACTATTGCGTAAGTACTAAAGACTGCCTCGTTGGCAGAGTGATCGCAAGTGCGACTGCCGGGCAAGGGGTCTCGGGTTCGGTTCCCGGGTCGGGCAAACTATTATTAGGTTTTTTTAAAATTCTCAGTAGTAGCACGGAGTCTGATATTGTGCCCGGTATATGGCAATAGGCTCACCCCCTAATACATGGGACTTAACATAAATAGTGAAAAGTGGGTGTTACATTGTATAGTGGCATAATGTGCACCTCTGCCTACCCCTTCGGGGATAAAAAGCGTGATGTTATGTTATGTTATATTATTGCGTAAGTATATTTACCCCTATTCAAGGTAAAATACACCGCCACGCAACACCTGGGGTTTTTGTCCAAATCGAATGGATTAACAAATTATATTTTTATGACTATTTCTTCGATAATGTCATTTTAATATCAAACAGTTGATCCCTGCAATATATCCGTTGTTTATCTGTGAATTATCTTAGTAAAGCGATTAGTATGTGTGATAAATATTTTGTTTTATGTAATTCCGACTTGAAAATAGGTGTATTTTGTTATGTAGTTATCAATAAACACTGCCTCATTGGCCAAGTGTTCGCAAGTGCGACTGCTGGGCAAGGGGTCCCGGGCAACCCGGCTCAGGCGAAGTTATCAATCAATCATTTTTTTTATTCAGATAATACAATCCATATGGTTAGTAAAGACATACACAACTTATAAACTAGTATTAGTGCATAAAACCTCATCATATAAAAGTAGAATAAATCGTCATAGTTAATAATTATAATAAATACATAACCTAACTGGGTTTAAAAAAAATCTCAGTAGTAGCACGGAGCCTGGAACTGTGCCCGGTATATGGCAATAGGGTCACCTCCTATTACATGGGACTCATAACACAAATAGTGAAAAGTGGGTGTTACATTGTACAGTGGCATTAAGTGCCGTAATTTACACCTTTGCCTACCCCTCGTGAAGTTATAATATGTATGTATAAAATCAGCTTTTATCAGCGGATTCTTCTGCGAGGAATAAAAAATAGCCTATGTGGTATTCCAGACCATATTCTACCCCTGTTCCAAATTTCATCCCGATACCTTCAGCTGTTTTGACGTGATTGAGTAGCATACAAACACGAACAAACAAACTTTCGCATTTATAATAAATACCTAGATAGATCGTAATAGCCCACTACTGGACTAGGGGCCTCGTCTACATAAGAGCAATGTCGCGGAGAACCTAACGGGTAACCGGAGCTCCGCATCGACGTGCAGGAGAAGGAACGGGGTGGTTTTTAGTCAGTAAGAGTCTGACACTTCCTCCCGCCTCACCCAGGCGGGAGAAGTCATTCGATGATTTTCCCCCTTAAAAAAAAATATCCTCATAATGCGAAGAATTAATCGAATACGGCTTACTCCCATGAACTAATGGAGGATAGCAGTTGCTTGTGTGACGTCACTGCGCTGAGTACGCTGCTCATACATATGGGTTCGCGTCTGACTTGAAATTAGTCAAGCTTTCCTCGAATTGTTCACGTGAGTAATCCGT